GCCATCCCCGCCTCAGCCTGGCGCTCGGGGCCGCTCCCGAGCCGTGCGGGGCGGCCGCCTCATTGGCTGCCCTTTGTTTGATTTTGTGATGCGTTCGCTGTCAAAATGGGTTTTGACACAACCAGGAACTAAGTAGCTGAAATTCCTGGTTGTGAAGGCGGGCACGCACGCGGGCGCGTGAAATTTGTCTCGAGGAAACGATTCTCAGGAGTGTGCTGGCCTTCCTTAGCGTGGGGAAATCCGCTGATGGGGCTGGTGCTTTTCAGGATTGACGGTGAACTCCTGGGCCTTGGGTGAACGTCCGTGGAAAAAACTGGCCTCCAGCTCCTAAAGCACGTCCTTCCCCTGGGGCAAGACGTGGGAGAGGCAGCAGGGCTGGGAGCACGGTGTGGTGGTTCTGGAGGGGGACGAGGCAATAGGAAGGCACGAGTTGTGTTGTTGCCTGTGGTGTTCAGAGGTTGAGATCACCTGTGCAGCCATAAGAATCTAGGTCTTCGGGTGGAAACACAGTAGTGTTCCCTGTGCAGATGGGTAACTGTGCCGTGTTTAGATGAGTTTAGAGGGATGGGTAATCAGTTGCAAACTGAAGCTTGCAGGCGTGTACCTCCTTCTTCAGCAGTGAGTTTGATGTTCATGCCTAGGTAGCCCCCAAATTTAAACTTAAGTTTCAGTTTTCATGCGTACCATGATTTAGTACTGCTTGTGTCTCAGATATTTCCTGCTTTGTGTCTTGAATACTGTATCATCTTGAGATGAAATCTGAAGCAGATCTGATGGATCTATTGACAAGCCATTAAGGTCCAGCTGGAGAAGGAGGTTGACCCTTGAGAAAAAAAAAAAGAAACCAAAACCACTTTGCAGAAGTGGGGGGAGGCCCCTTGGAGGGCTCCAGTACCAGGAGTGGTGCCTGGTGATAACTGGCAAGCAAAGGCCAGGGCTTTCCTTCTCACCCTGAATCCTCCACAATTAATGGATTGCTGTTCTTCGTGTGAAAGGTGAAATCGAGGGTTTCACATTTCTGCTCTTTGGAGATGCTGTGGCAATTTCTGTAAGGCTTCTTGGAGAGGAGGAAAGGTGTTCCTCACTCTCATGCTTCCCTAAAAGCAGTCCCACAGAAGCAGCTGTGTCAAAATAGGTTGTCGCTATAGGATAGATCTGGGTTAAGAAGATCCCACTGGATCTAAAGATTTCACTTTAGAAATAATTCAGATTGCTCAAGAATCCTTTCTGCTTTTCTAAAAGATACAGATTCAGCATCAGATTAAAAAAACATACAGAGGGTGGCTATTATTGGGTAAGCAACACTCCTAGGTGTAGCCAGTGTTTGCAGGATGCTTTTCACTGGACACAGCACGTTGCCCACCTTCAGCTGGCACAGGTAACCTGTGTTCTCTCTCCTTGGTGTAACTGCTGCTTGCAGGGATTTCTTCTGTGTTGCTCCTGTTCTATGGAGTTCTTATATTCACAAATATTAATGATTGAGTTAATGAGAGGGCTTTCCCAAAATCTCCAAAATTTTGAGTGTGTGGAGGGAGTTTTCCACCTTATAGAAACTGTCAAATTTTTCTTGTCACTACATCTGGTGACAATTACTTTGTTGAAGCCTAAAACAGAAAATTGAGGTGAAGAATAACAGTGCTAATCAATGATGAACTTGTTAATAAGAAGTTCAAGGTGTTGGACGTTGCCATCTGGTACAAGGGAGTAATTTGTCTTTTTACTAGGTGGGGAGGATATTTTGTACAAAAATGACTTTGATTAAGCAAGGATACTGTTGACTGAGCAGTGTATTTGCAAGAGCTCCTGAGGTACTGGGGGATCATTATGAAGTTACTGTAAACTCTGCTGCTTTCACGTGTTGGCAGAAGAAGGGGTGAATTCAGATTATCTCCCATCATATTAAAAAAGGGTTTTGTGCCCTCAGAGTTGTAGATCTTGCCCACCAGAGCTTGTAACCTGCTGGTGTAGTGCTGTGCCTCAGGGAAAGCAAAAGGCACCTTTAAAATAAACCAAACAAACCAAAAACCCTCCACCAATAACCTAAACCAACCCCCAAACCAAAAAAGGGCGGTGATGGAGTGACAGGAAGAATCTGTGTTTGAACTCTTAAGTTGTGAAGCAAGTAAAGGTCTGGTGTTGAGGTTTCTCTTACATTTTCATTGTTGAAATGCTTTGAACCACCACCTTTTTTTTTTTTTTTTTCTCAGTTTTGGTTGCTGTGGTAAAAGACAAGGAAGTATTTCTCACCACACTGACAGAAACCACAAAAGATTTCAGTTTCCAGTTTTTCCCCTGCTTAGGGTGCACCTTTGTGTTCAAGATGGAGATAGTTTGCTTCATATTGATAGTGTCTACAGTGTTAATTTCTGGCTGTGCTGACGTGATTTCTGTCACTTCTTGCTGTTCATTTCAAACGTTCTGCTTCTAGTTAGGTGCTTGTTGCTTTTATCTGAGCATTTTTATTTGTTTGCTTTTTAGCCTACCAAGATAAAATGAGTAACTGAGCATCTACATGCGAGTGGTAATTGTGTATTGGGATGAATGAGATCCTGTCTGAACCATCTCTCCCCTGGTGTGAGGAGACTCTGGTGGTGCCTGTGTGGAGAACCAGGGCTTTGCCAGTGTTTTAACCACAGGTCAAAAAGATTTATATCACTGATGTGATATATTTTGAGTTTTTGGTCTCGGTAGTCAGGTGAGCAGCTCATCCCAAGTAAGACCTGGCCTGTGTGTCCCCTCCACAAAGGACTGTGTGCACAGGGCAGATGTCACTGGGGACGTCCCAGTTGAATTGTGACTTTAGCAAGGCTCTGGAACTGCGTGGATGCCGTCCGATGGCGTTTTTCTCTCCTACTCCCTGTGTTATAAAGTTCCCACTGTCCTTTGGTATCATCTGGTGGCCTTCACATGCTGAATGACACTCCTTTGGGGCCATAAATGTAGGAGTGGAAGGACCTGCCCGGGTGACGGTGCAGGAAGCCAGCGCTGGAAGGGCTGCCCTGTGCCGTGTCCTGCCCTCCCATCTGCTCCGGGCCCCGCCAGTAAAACCTGCGAGAGGAGGAAGAGAAGGAAGCAGTGGCCTTGCTGAGCAGGCTGCAGCCCGTGGGGACCCAGGCACGGCACCGACAGCTGGGAGCAGTGGCCTACTCTGCTCTCCCTGCCAGACGCCATTTTTAACTCCCTCAGATCCAGAGCAGGATCGCAGGAATGCTGCCACAACCGAGGCTCTGGGCTCAGCCCTGAGGAACAAACCTCTGCACAGTAGTTTGGGATACAAGGCAGATGTGCTGCCTGGGTTGTTCATGTCAGATGGATAAGCAAAGAGTTTCTTGAGCTCCGTTCTCCTTTAGAGTTGATTTATTTTTTTCCCATTGTGTTCAGCTCTTTCCTGTGAAAAGACACATCGTGTATAGGGCAAAGAGCATTTTGTGCCAAATTAGAGCAAAAGAGAATTCTCTGTTTACTGGGCTTCTCCTGGCCACTCTCTGCTGTCTGGGTCTGTAGCACTTTCCTGGCTTGAGAGTGTGTCCAGGCCCTTCCTGGCTGGTTGTAGCATCTTGCTGGAGTATCTGGGAATAGGTCAGGTGTGACGGGCAAGGGCCTCTTGACGCAGGACGTGTGGGAGTGGCTGTAACGTGAGATTTGGAATAAGTACCAGAGCTACTTTTGAAGGCTGCTGTAAAGGACAAGGTGTCTTCCTTCCACGCTGCCGGGTTTGTAGTGGGGATGAACAATCCAGGCTGCCTTTTAGCAGTCTGGGAAGTGACAAAAAGGGGGTTGGAGTAGTGTGTGCTTGGGTGTAGTGATAGGAGCTTTTATCTGTCGTGGGCTTTGCTCCTGGTGGCTCCTAACTCACTCTCTTGCATCCTGTAGGCACTGGGGAGAGTGGGAAAAGCACGTTCATTAAGCAAATGCGTATAATTCATGGCTCAGGCTACTCTGAAGAGGACAAAAAAGGCTTCACCAAGCTGGTGTACCAAAACATCTTCACTGCCATGCAGTCTATGATAAGAGCCATGGAGACCCTGAAGATTCTGTACAAATATGAACAGAACAAGGTAAGCTTCTCAGTTTTTGCACATATCTTTATTCAGTGAGGATTTTGAGTTCTTGTTTGTTCATGTCTTTCTGTATTGCAACCTCAGTGACGCTGAACTCTTTCCTGCAAACTTTTAATGACATTTTCTTGATACCCAACTGCTTTTATTTGGTTGTGTTAAGGGATAGGGTAACTTTCCAAGGTTGGTGCACTGCTGTGCCTAGTGAGTGGTTGGAGCAAGGGATTTGGATGTGATGGTAGGGGTAGGAGGGGTGTTATTTTTACTCATTTCAAGGATTCAGGGTTGTTAAATGTGTCAGCATTTTCTTTGCATATGTTGCTGTTCTTATTGGAACTTGAAGCAAAATACATGCTGGACACAAAAGACACAGACCTATGCTGGTAGCTATCCCTGTTTCTGCAACCCTTCTGTTTTTCTGATAGCTACTGACCAAGAGTACAAACCTTTCTTGAGGAATTTTGGTCTCAACCACAAAAATGTACTGATTTTGGAACCAGGAATTAATTTTAGACAGATCTGATCTAAATTATTTTATCTTTTTGAGGGGGAGGACAGTGAGAGTGAGGGCATGCCAGAAAAACAGGTTTTTTTTTAGCATATTTTGCTTTTTTTAATACTTAGTATCCTTAATATTTTGAAGTTGTAGTTTATCTGACCTGTCACGAAGTGTCTTGCAGCTGATTTTGAATAATTGTTTGTAGGGAGTAGATGGTGCCCCTTTCCTGTCTGTGGTGAGAATAGGCAGAGTGTGAGAAAGCTTTGCCTGTGCTTTATGTGAGGCATGGTGGAGAGGTTCTGATAAATAAAATCTGCCAACTTCTGCTTACTATAACTTGTGCAGAACTTCAGTTTGGTTTTTATTTACTGGGGGTATTGTCAAAAGCCCCTTGGTGTGGATAATTACCTCACAAACTCCACAGGCTGTGCTAGTTTCTGTAGTCCTTCCTTTGCTTAGCCATTGTAGGGTGGATGTTTTTATCCCCCTGGTTTTGGTTTTGTTTTTTTTTTTCTTCACTTTTTCTCTCTTTACTTCTTCTTTTCAATCTCCAGGCCAATGCAGTGCTGATCCGAGAAGTGGATGTAGAAAAGGTCATGACATTTGAGCAGCCATATGTAAGTGCAATTAAAACATTGTGGAATGACCCTGGAATACAAGAGTGTTATGACAGGAGAAGAGAATATCAACTTTCTGACTCAGCTAAATAGTAAGTGTACAATCACTGGCATGCTTGTGGTGGGAGTGATGGTCTAACAGATTACACCTGTCCACATTTTTTTTATCCAAGTCCAGAGTTTGTTTCTTTATCATTTGCTGCTTTTCCTGAGAGTATGAAGTGTTCTGGTGGGTGTTCATACATCTGCTCTAGGATATACCTGAGGCCAGAATCTCCACAGTATTCCATCTATATTGCTCTTGGGCAGCAGGAGTGCTGCTCTTTTTCTTCAGGTTTGTTTCTGGCCTGCAGGTGTACATAGATATGTAACTCAGATCTTATTAATTATAAATCCATTAAATTTGGCAATGTACAGAGGATGTTTTATATTTATAAGTAAATAACTAACTGTATGATTCT